AATTATATTCAATTTTTACTTTACCTTATTTAATCAAAACTGTCAAATAACGATAAAAAGATGCTATTCAATATCAAATATGAGAAAGAGATGTTGATTGTTTTTCCGTAATACGGTTAAACAACCAGAATTCTAACCACACCAACTTATGAAGTCATTTTGTTCCTGGCAGCTTTGTTCATGCTACAGCTGAAAAGGCAAATCTGTCAATATCACTACCGGCTGAACTGTGGTTGGAATCCCAGTTATGATACTTCATTATTTCTTTCATTCCTTCAATGCATGAAGAATTTCCAGTATCTTGCACTTTTCAATTGGGGATCTTGGATAATTTGAATATGAAACTATCATTTACGAATAAATGGCATACCAGTTGTAAACGGTTACAAAACCATAAAGGTAGAAATAACGTTCCTGACCGTGAACTTTATGATTTATCAGGTGGGCAGATAGTTACCGGCTATCTTACCATAATTTCAGAATGAAAACTCTAATAGTTTAATGGTATAGTGTTTAAAATAGACAAATTTATTAGTATATGTTGTTCTGCACAAATAATGTTAGCCATGTAAAATGACAAAAACTGAAAATTAATTTTTGCAATTTGATAAAGGTAAATTTGATAGATTTAGTAATCATTCATCTTAAAAAGTCGAAAATATCGAGATGTATTTTGTTAGAGCTTATTTGCTTTTCAGTTATTACATTTAGGTAAAAAAGAAAAGAGAAGCAAAGATAGAAACGCTAAGAAAAAATTGTAAAAATTTAAATGTTCATAATGGTGAATAATTCCTTTTTGCCAATACACTATTGTAGATTAGATAGCAGCACTTGAATGCGTAAAATGATTGATAAATCTTGAAAAGAATGACTTTATTATTCAAAACATTGAATATTTGGCTGGCATTTTCTGCGGTTCGTATCAACGTCTAGTTTTAAAATAATATTAAACCTTCAAATTGATCTGTCACAACACATCACTTTAGTTTTCTATATAGTGATAAATCTGAAAAGCTATGGAACAAAACAATTTCTTATCATACGAAAAACATTATTTATTCATTTAAAAATGTGCATACATACTGTATATTTATATGTTTATTATTATAAAACTGTATACTTATATGCTTTATTTCATCAAAAATATGTAGTTGAATCAATTTATTACAATTTTGATTTAAGGTAATCGCGAGTGACACGAGATATTTTTTTAAAAAAACGGTAACCACGATAAGAAATGCCGGATCAAATTATGGTAAAAAGTACTGGCAACCTTAGTGTAGCATTCGTAAAAACCATTTTACAATTAAAAAATTTTACCGTAATATTTACAATAATATTTATTTAATTACAGAAATTCAGTGATTTTTCGGTAAATATTAAAGCAAAAATTAAATGAAGTTATATAAGATTTTTTAATCTTCAAAATTGTTCGGTAAAAATAGATTTTTTGGAAAAAGATAGTGGCACCTTTAGTGCATGTAAATTTTATCGTTATAATGGCCTCAATTTTTTAGCAGTGTTGTGTTTAGCAGTTACTTAAAATAGATAATATTACGGGAGGATTTGACGAATTCTTAATTTTCTTCCTATCTGTATTATTTTTGCTTCGAAAAAGAAGTATCGAATGGATTGAGGACATTTCATTTTAGATCTCGATTTCTTAACAGTGTTGAGAGCCCTACTTAAAATACATGATATTACGCGAGGATTTGACGAATTCTTAATTTTCTTCATATCTGTATTATTTTTGCTTCGAAAAAGAAGTATCGAATGGATTGAGGACATTTCATTTTAGATCTCGATTTCTTAACAGTGTTGAGAGCCCTACTTAAAATACATGATATTACGGGAGGATTTGACGAATTCTTAATTTTCCTCCTATCTGTATTATTTTTGCTTCGAAAAAGAAGTATCGAATGGGTTGAGGACATTTCATTTTAGATCTCGATTTTTTAACAGTGTTGAGAGCCCTACTTAAAATACATGATATTACGCGAGGAGGCATTTAATTTCTTTTGAATCCCTTTAAAAATATCCCAAATTCTTCAAAAAATGTAAAGCAATGATGAGCGCAAGATATTTACGTCTTTTATCTACATTGATTTGAGTCACATACTCAGATAATCCCCACGGCTACAGTTAGGAGAAAGTTGAATTAGAAATTGTATTTATTGAAATGTTGCTATGCAAACAACAGGATTGATTAAAACATGGTTGATCATTTGCTTGCCTGTACGCACAAACATTGTTATCTATGGATAATACAGCCGCACATTATTGATTTCAGTTTCTTGTTCATTTTATCATTGCTTACCCTTGATAATGAGAAAAATTTGCGTCGCATATTTGTCGATTAAAAGCATAAAGTTAAATTTTAAAAAGAAGTGTGATTTAGTTTCTCTCAACACCAAACTTGGTTACAACTTTTTTACAAAATTTTTTTTTACCGTGTAGTTATGCAAAATGCTCCACGTCAGATTCGAATTTCTATGACGTACTTTTAGAAATATATTTTTCAATTGCGTCCCATCAATCTTTTAAAATTTTCAAAATGATAATGATACATATTTTTGGAAACTGAAAATTTAAAAAAAAAGCTTGTTGAAAGTTATTTCTATAAAAATAAAAATCTGAATAAAAATTTCTGATACATCAAAAATAGTATACAAACACTTTCGTATAAACGTTTTAGAAATAGAAATAAAAAATAATAATTGTAGGTATAAAAAAACTAAAACATTAGAAGAGTTTGATTTGATAATTAATCAAATTTTAAATTCTTAAATAAGAAAAATGTAAATGTACCTGAACATTTTGCATGAATAATAACATAAATTAAAGTTTCATAGCAAAAACGCTTTTTATTCTTTTGCAAACAAAATATTCCAGCATGCTCATTAAAAACTTTGACTTAAGAAAAGCTTTTTTTGTCCTTTTGCCAACAAAATATTCCTAGCATCACTCACTAAGTACTTTTATTTCACTGAATAATTTTATTTCACTAAATACACTTATTTCATTAAATATTTTAAATTCCCTAAATACTTTAAATTCACTAAATACTTTGACTAAGGAAGAGCAAATTTTTTTCATTTTACAAACAAATTATTCCAAGCATTTCTCACTAAATACTAGGACTAGAGAAGAGGGATTCTTTTTTTGTCCTTTTGCAAACAAAATATTCTTAACATTGCTCAATAAACACTTTTATTTCCCTAAATACTTTTATTTCTCTAAATACTTTGATTTCACTAAATACTTTTACTAAATAAGAGCTGTTTTTGTCCTTTTGCAAACAAAATAATTTAAACATCACTCTCTAAATACTTTGATTTCACTTAATATTTAGACTAAAGAAGAGCTTCCTTTGTCCTTTTACGAACAAAGTATTCGAGCATTACTCACTAAATACTTTGACTTTCATTAATGGATACTTTCCAAAGTAAAATATTAATAGTTGAAAACATATATTTTTACTTTTCTGAAATTATAAAAACATGAGGAAATAATGCTTACATCTTTGCTCTGAAATTACTAATATCTTTTTGAAAGTACATTTAGTTGCTCAAAACTTTCGTTAACTTTCTTCGAACATTATATTTACACTAAGAAAGCCCACACTGCAAACATTTCTAAAAATAAGAAAATTTATAAAAAAAAATGTATGTTTAAAAATATTTTTTCTGAGCTTAAGTAGAAATTCCCTCATTTCAATAATGTAATTTTTCTAAAAGAAAATCTATTCAAAAGTCACCTTTATATTTGAAAGGCAATAAAAGTATTCTATAGAAAAAATTTTTTCCCCTTACTTCAAAATGTTTTTTTTTTTTTATTAAGAGTTAATATTGGGTCACATAAAGCCGTATATGAATAGTGCCAAATTTAAAACTTTTTGATACTTGTTTTATTGAAAATTTAGAACAAAATTATCTATTCTTTAATACTGTATAACAATGTATTCTGCACAAACAAATAAACGGAACACCCTTAAAAAACGCCATTAAAAATCATATTTTAAATCACATTAACTAAAGATGATTTAGCATAATAAATCACAATTAGGAAAGTCGTATATTTAAAACTCGATTTCTCATAAACTATTTGACCGATTTCGCTCAATTTTTGCATTTTATCATCAAAAATTACATTCTTTTAAATGATGCAAAAAACTGTACACCTTGCTATTCAAAACTTATTGACCATTATTTAACATAATAAATGTTTTTAATACATTTTTAGCATGTAATTACTTAAAGATAGACAAATTTTACAATTGTGTGCAAAAGTTGTTCAAATCGCACAAAATGTTGACGAAAAATAGCGAAATACGCAAAAGTAAAATTAGCATTAAGTACCCCAAACAAATTATGGGCACCATGTTTCTCAGATTGCGGCTGCACCTTATATTTTGGGTGTCAGAAATTTGAATCCGACAAAAAAAGGCATGTTTATTTTAAGGGACTATGTTTTTATGTCTGATTTCGTTACTTAAACTATCGTCTACACTAATTAATTAGAGTATTTGAGGTCGCCCTCTCAAACCATTAAGATTGACTCCTTGAATATGGAGATCAGATCATTAGAACAAAAGTTATTCAGATCAGTCTGTTTTTTTTTTTGCTCAGTAACTGTACATAACCTAAAGATAAAACATATAATTTCATTATATTATTGAAATTATTATATTATTATGAATTTCATTATATTATTATAATTGTTTTCTCTGAATATATGTAAGTATTTTATTTTTAATATTAATTTTAAATTAATCTAAAGTCAAACTAGAACGCACTTTTCAGAACGGGAAAAGGGAGAACTCCCTTTTCCTTAGATAAAAACGCTTTTTAAGCCAAACAAAAACACGTTTATGATAATTGTTTAGCTCGACAAACTTTATCATGACCTCTTACTTTATCATATCAGAGAGAGGTATATTTCCCGGCAATAACTTTTTTATTGACAGATAACAAATAGAGAGTGATAACTTTCGAAGGAAAGAGTTTCTGTTTCCAGTTTTCTTATCTTCACAACTGGAGATATAAAAAGCACTGTTGCGCAGCGTAAAATAAATGATGAAAGCTTGTCTCCGATTACGTTGCTGAACTAGAATTTTTTTTAAATATTTATTCGAAGTAGAGTTCGCTCTGATATTTATTCTAAATCAGTGCTGTTTGTTCGAAAATCATGAGTTTCTTCGGTGAGCACCCACCAATTAACGCTTTGTCGAATTTCGACATTGAATTGCAGTATTTTTATAGTGAGCTTCTTTCAGCGATGTTGAAAAACGAGAAATTAAAGAAAACTGTTCTTAAATCTCTAGGTAAAGACAGAATCAGGCATATTCGGAAAATTAGTTCCAAGGTTTCTCTTCAATATACTGCCTATATATCCCGTTATGGTCCGTGCTATACATCGGCACTAGCGAATTATATGTTGCGTATGGTTAAAGACAATCCTTTTATTTTTCGAGATGCTCTTTGGAAAAGGTGCGTAAATATCTGCTGTTTCGGAAATGCTGTTTCGGAAATTGTTGCCATCTGTAAAATATTCAGCCTGGCTCAAGACGGATTCTGGGAATGTTCTCGGAAACCCCTAAAAATAAATGTGACAATTGCTGGTAAAACTCTTCACCACACGAAGGCTACCACAAATACCTTACAACTATTGTTAAAAATGAACAATATTTTGGACACTTCAAAGATGGTCGTTAGTGTTCAACATGTCAACGCGAATCCTGCTAAGCTCTTAAAAAGTTCATTAGTGAAAGTTCTGAAAGAGGCAGATTTGGTTACAATGGTGAAATACGTATCCACAAATCGAGTTGGAACAGTTATGGAGCAATTCATATGGGTAAGTTGAATTTTATGTTTCTTTTAATACTATTTCTATTTAATGCCACACTGAGAAAAAGAGAATGGTCAAAATTACCAGAATATGGTCAAATTTATTGTGTTTCTAGTTCCATGGAAACACCGAAAAGCTTGGTAACTTTCACCAAAATGTTTTGGTAATGATTTTGGTTATATCAACCATAAAATATAGTGTTATAATAAGTGATAAAATTTGAAAAGGTAGCAAAGTTTGATAATTTTATCATGATTCCTTAAAGAACGGCATAAAAACCCTTTTCCTAATAAATTTGCTTTTCAATTTTCTCCAGAATTTCTAATAAACATTACGAAATGCTGGTTTATAAATACCATGAATTTTGGTTTTATTATCAGATTTTCATACAGTGCGGTAATTTTATCAGAATATTTTTTTCAGTGCAATGCTTAGATATTTTTTAAGGTCGTTGATAGTAATTTTTGTTAACCTCCTGCGACACAGTGTTTAATACATTGGGAATTAATATAATTTCACTACTTAAAAAAATAAATATTTTTTCCCTTTAGTATATTTTTAAAAAGGCTCTGTCTGAGCAAAAATATAAAATTGTAAATGGGTTTACTCTCACTGCTCTGAGTTTTTAATTACTGTTAAAAATAGTAAGAAATGTAACAAATCTGATTTAGGTAACCGTTTGAACAGTTTGATAGCATATAAATATCTTATCATTTAAATTTAATGGATTTTGTTTTATGAAGAAAATGAGAAGATATGCATTAACACTATGAAGACTGAATATTGATGTATACCTAGAAAGATTAAAGGGGTTACATTAGCCCTCTCTAGATTGTTTGTGTAAAGATAAATTAGACATTAAAAATCTTGAAAGATAATCATAATTAACGTAATTGAAACATATTATAGACTTAATCATTGAGATTTTTTTATATTTTATTAAATTTTGTTAAGGAAAATCTATTTCATTCATCAGAATATTGACTTCTCAATTATAAGCACATGTTAATTTCTTAGATAATTGGTTTTTCGTTTCTCTATAAATAATTATTCGAGATATGATTAAATATTTTCGTTTTTCTAATGAAACTGGAGTACCTTCTAACCAAACTACTAAAGGGGCCAATTTAGCCCCTCTCTTCATTCTAGGTATAAGATCCTATATAAAAAATTTGATAAAGCTAACATATAAATGTTTATATAAGCACATAAATTGGGTCAAATTATGAAAAGTCAGGAATACTCAACAATTTCTGTCAAAGTTATTTTTCGAATTGTAAATTAACAAAGAACGAAAGGGGCCAAATTCTCTTCATTCATCTATCTAGTGGGAAAAATTTACGTTGATAAACAAAAAAGTCCTAAAAATTGAATTTTTTATGCAATGGTTAAAAATAACTAAAAAAGTTCATTTATTTAAATTTATTGAATTAGTATAAACATAATTTATCTTATGAGTTATTTCTCCTTTAAGTTCCTAAGCATTAATTGCTTTTCATGAAACTATTTAAATTTTTCTCAGGACGTTAAAATAATTTTTTTTCTCCTTTTTTGTTAGATGTTTCAATGGAGACTACAAAATTGAATATTTATTCCATGTTTCAACAGAAATTATTAAGCATACATGTTTTTTGTAGCATGTTTAACGTTACAGAAGTTTGCTTTTTGTAAATTATTTTTAGTTTTGTGAACAATTAGACTGTTTTTACGGACAGCTGAAAATTGCAATTTTTTCCCCAATCTCTATAAATATGCCTTTTTTAAAATTTAAAGAGAGCCCTTCTTATTTAAATTGGTATATTTTATTATATATTTCATTGCTATTTTCCGTAATATTCAAATTTATAATTTAAAGGAAAAAATCGTATTCATAAAAAATTTCCTTCGAAACTAAATTAACTGCTTATAAAATCAGTTTGTAAATATTTAAAATGCATTAAAATGAAGTAAATTGTGAGGAATCCATTTTAAAACATTGTCTTGTTTGGTTAAGAGTTTTGGAATGCGACTTAAGTTACTTATTTAAGCACGAACATAAGAACATTTCTGAAGTATGTTTATTTTAACGATAAAAAAAATTTAAACAAGGTAGCCAAAATCCAATTTTAAATTTGTTGCAAGTTCGCTAACTAATTTAAAATAATTTAGAATTTCGCAAGTAAATGTAACATAATCCTTTACAATTCTATAATATTTTTTTATCTTTACTTTTGTTTACTTTTAAAAGCTTATGTTTGCTTTTGAATAGTTCGCTAGTTGTTATTCAAAATAAATATATTACATGTTATTACTGTTTATTTAGCTTTGAAGAAATATCTGCAGTCTGGAAATTAAAAGCAAGTCTGAAGTTAAATAAAAAGCATAGTTTTTCAATATTCATTTCCTTAACTTCATATAGAATTCCGGTTTATCTCTTTAACTTTATATAGAATTCTAGTTGTCTATTTTTTCTAAAATTACATAATATTCGAAATCGTTTAGAGCACTATTTGGCATCGGTTTCTATTGTAGACTATTTAACTTAATTATTTTTGTGGTCAACTCATATTCAAAATAAATTTTATTTTATTGTGAATATTTAAACCAATTACATTAAGTGATTTAAGATTTTTTTTTCAGTTTCAAATGATTCTTCTTATTTTTATAAAATCTATATGAAAATAAATTGAAGGAATTTATATTAAAAGGCCTTCTAATGAATTTAAATTCAATTCACTTTATAAATAGGAATGATTCATGGAAGTAAAGAGATTTAAAAATATAAAATAGAAAAAAAGAATAGAAAATATATTATGTGTTTCGCTAAAGAAAATACTTTTTTTTTCTGAAAATTAGAATTAGTTGTATATTAACTTAATTTATAATGCAATTTATTGTAAGGCATAAATTAGTGCTGATATATATGTATTCTGAAATGTGTATCATGATGTAATTGTTTTCTTAACGTTCCATATACTATTGCATGATTTCATAAAAATTCTAGTTTACTGCATATCAGGTTAAATTTTTTAATTATTACTTTTATTGAATTCGGTTACAAGAAAAGGAAAATCGTTGTTGTCAATTTCAATATTTTGTAAATCATAATATTTATCTTTATCTCTCATTTCACTAAAATATTTAAGAAAATGGAACTTAGTGAGTTTATATGCTAAAGCTTGTTTTGTGTGTTAATATTTGGTTTTCATTAGACTATTACACTTCCAAAAGAAAAAAGAAAAAGGTTTTCATAGTATAGCAAAAATGTGTCAAAAATAGCTCCGGCATAAATAATAGTCGAATTTGTACACTACATGCTTTCAAAATTAAAGCAGAATGTACTAATTTCTTTGCGAAATATTTAGTCTCAAAAGTGTTGTAGAAATAATGATGCATGAGAGAAATGTTTATTGGATGCCAACACGACTCAAACTAAGCACCTTCAAGTTTGTAGTTGGATGTTTTAAACACCACAGTTGTACACCCCACCCCGGGGAGAGTTAGGAAGATTTATGTTATATATCAACGCCACAATAACACATCATGATATAAATTCTTTTTGCTCAATCGTTTTTAAGCTGTCGTGAAATAAGCAAAAAAGTTAGATTAAAATTAACAATTTTCTAATAAATCTATTGAGACTATATTCTCCAAATTGCAATCCTTTTTATCAGTGAAATTTTAAATTAGTATGTAATTATTGCTTAGTACGTATTTTATTACTCATTCTTAATGGTTAGAAGTGATGACTTTAAATATGCTATTTAATTAGTGCAGACGATAATTTAAGTTACGATATCAGACACATAAGCGTACTTTCTCAGAATAAACATACTTCTTTTTCAATGAATTTAGATTACTGACCCTCAAAATATAGGGGGTAGCTGCAATCTGGGAAATATGGTCCCAATAGTATGAGAGAGATCCAAAGCTTGGACTCCTTAATGTTAAATTTATTTTTTGCGCATTTCGCTATTTCTAGAGAACAAATGCAAATTGAAAATCTTTTACACACAATTATATAATCGTTTATCCAAAGATAATTCTAAGCGAAAAAATAAATTTTAGTAAATATTTAGTATTTTTTATTATTTTATTAAATAACAGTCGAAAAAATTTTAAATTTTAAAACAATATAATCCCAGACTTTTTTTGTCAAAACTTTAAATTAATTTTTTTAATAATACTTATTATTGCTAATACTTTTTAATTTTAATTCAATAAAGAACCACATTAAAAATGCATATTTTACGTTACCTGAAAATACTTGAGCAGGACTTGTACAATATTTCTCCTTACACAAGCTATGTCAAAGGAATCAGATTCGATTGACTACCACATTTTATAAATTATTAAAAGATACAGGGAAAAAAAGACTAGCATAACAATTCAGGTAACACTTAATAATATTTTATTCCAATTTTTCGCCTCATTTTTCAGTATATTAAATATCTTTATTTTCTAGACTGTATGACAGTAAAATGACCGATTATCAATAATATTAAACTTTGAGTTTCAGTTTTATAGTAGATAACAGGTGTTTAATATTTCTGATACTCAAATACTGAATTAAGGGGTAATATGGTGGTTGGAAACCCCATGATAGAATTGCGGCGACATTGTCGCAGATTGTTACAAATGCTCTTGCAGAAAGAATTTTCTTTCGGGAAGTAAAGAATTTTGGTTTTCCTTTCTGCCAAAATTTTCCTTCTCTAAAATTAAAAGATTCTTTTTTCGCACATCAGAGGGGAAAGAAATGTTCGTGATTTTTCTATTCTTATTTGAGAAGAATAAAAAAATTTAGAATAATGAAGAAAAAAAATTTCTTTTCCACAGAAATATTGAAAGATTTTTTTACTCTCCAGAAATCATTCTTTTGTCGCATTCATTTTGCGCAGATTTTCTCGTTAATCCATGCGGTATTTCAAGCGTTCTTCTGACGGTTATTGTTAATTTTCACATTTAGAAAAAAAAAAGCCCGATGTTTTTAAACAATTTAATTGTAAGCGAAACTCAAATCAATTATTTACTTTTAACGTGACGATTTCATAGTTTTTTCAACTTTTTATTGCTAGTGCTACTTAAAACTCCGTGAGGTTTTTAAATATCCAGATATATTTCTGACAATATAGGAATTTTTTTTTTGTAAACACAGCGATTTTGTTACTTTAAATTCTATTTGTAACATGTATATTTGTTATTATTATAAACATCCTGGAGAAAGATATTTGTCGCAGAAAGCCCAAAAAAATTTTGCCACAGGGGTTGGAAAGATACTAAAATGACGTAGTGATATAGTAACTTTTGCTTCACTTACATTTGCTTTACAATAACATATATTTGCTACGTCAATGCAATGACCATACGCAACTTCGCATTAACGCAACTTCAATACAAGCTATTCATACAAGCAAGCATTAACGCAACTTCAAACAATTAAATATTTATGAAAACGTTTTTGTATTGTTCTTAAGAATTATGGACAATTTCTTTAGTAAAAGTAGTATAATTTAGTTTTGTTTAAAATTTAATGCCATACAATTTAAATTAAGACAAAAGTGAGCTAAAAACGGCTGTATTAAAAATGACAAATTATCATTTATTTAAGTCCTGGAGTTAAACGGAATGCCAATAATATTTTTTTTTTATTTTTCCATTGAATTTACGATTGAATGGGCTTGAAGTTAATTTTGAAAAAGCTATAAATCAATTTAGCAATTATTAAGGCCCGGATTTTGATGACATTTGCATTTTTTGCATTTTTGGACTTTTTTTGCCCTTTAGAGTATTTTTTTAGATTTATAGGGCATTTTTCTTTAGATTGTGGGGCGTATTTTGCATTTTAAAACATTTTTTAAGTTTTTTGTTAATTTTTTCCAATTTTTATTATTTTTTATTAATTTTTATTATTAAACTGGCTTCCAAACAATGAAGAAAATCTCTAGGATATTAACAGGTGAGGCAACATCTTTTTAAATTGAAGAAGAATTGTCAGTAAGTGAGACCGCCTTTTTCAAGTACGCACCAATAACATCAGTAGACGTTGAAAGAAGCTTCTCCAGGTATAAAAATTTACTTTCAGACAAGAGACGCTCGTTTACATTTCAAAATATCAAAAAACATTTAATAATCCAATATAATTCTGATATTTGGTAATATTATGAGATGAAAGTTGTTATATTCATTAAAGTTTCTATACAAAATGAAAATGTTTTGGAGTCAATATATTTTCCTTTTTTTTTGTTATTTTGGGATATAAAACATATTTTTCAAACTTTAACGAACGTAGAACAAGTATTGCATTGCTTTATATTTTTTGAAATGACTCATAATAATTTTAAAGAATAAAAACATTGTTTTAGTTCAATATTTTTACTCTATTTATTTCATATCATAAGGCATTTTTAGCGCAATTTTCGCCTTTTTAGAGCATTTTTAAGGGCATTTTTTGCACTTTTTAAGGGCATTAGTTGAGATTTTTTAGGTCATCAAAATCTGGGCTCTAGCAATTATAAATTATTATTATCTTTACTTTAGAAAACAAACTTTGTAATTGTAGTTGTCATTTGATGATTTCAATTTTTATTAATACGCTGTGGTTCTTATATGTTTGTAATCGAAAGTAAGATTGGTCAATATTCAACAGAGTAAAAAGTGACATCAATCAAAATTGATACTTGAATCTTTTAAAATAACAAATTTATTATCTTATTATCGTTTCAAGCATGAAAGAGTAGAAAATAATTCTTGCTTGAAACCTTCCATTTTTTTAAATCTCAATTGGAAGTCTTAAACTGAATTGAAAATATTTCATTATATTACACTAAATAAGTATTTTTTTTTATTTCAAGCAAAATATCATGTAGAATATTTTAATGAAAAGTAAATATCATTTGCAGATTAATTTAAATTCTTATTGAATAGAAATTGTCGTCCTTTAGAAATCTAATGTTTTACAATAACTGCAGGTTCTTGCAAAGGTCGATTTTCGACTAAATGAAATTACGAAAAATAAAATCTTTGAGGTGATGAAAATTAAATACAATCGCCAGATTAAGGTAGATGTGAAAAGCAGTTTTTTTTTTCAACATTGGAACATTATTTTCAGCGCATGAAAATTTATCTGCTTTTGTCTTTCTTAAACTGACTCTGTTGCAATAAGACTATTTCTCACTTTATAATTAATAGGCAAGACGTGATTTATAAATTAATTGTGAATCTTGTGGGAGTCGAGTAATATTGAGTATGAATTGTATTTTTTTTCTTTATATTTGTGCTGAAAATATGCTCTTACGAAACACCGAAATTTGCATGCCATTTTTTTATCACCGCTGTTTAACAGCTGACCTATTTTTGAGTTTACGACTATCAAAGTTCGACTCCAATGCCTTGTAGCTTTTGACCCAACCCAGAAGACAAGAAAATTCATGGATCAAGTACAGGAACAAACTGTCCTTCATGACATTTTTGATGGAACTAAACCACTTTTGCGTTACATGGAGAGAAAAACCGAGAAAAAAATGATAAATTGGTTTTGACTCTATGAAAACACCAAAAACAAGACTCGGTAATTTTTATTGAATCTTTTTGGTAATGATTTTGGAACTCAACAAATATAATTGTGGTAAAATTTGGTAAATTTATCATGGTTCCTTGGAGCTTCACTTAAACATTTTTCATTTGGTTGAGTTCAGTTTTCAATTTTGTATTTTTTTCTGAACGTGTGATAATAAGAACTCAAATTTTGAAAACAGAAACTTCAGGTAAACCGTTGCCAAGCTGAAAAAATTACGAAATAAATGCTTTAAATACCGTATATATCTGGGTTTTTTTTAAAAAAAAACCAGAATTGCGCTTTTTTTTATTCGAAATGTTATCACCATGCAGCACCATTCTTCCCGTGTACAAATAAATTGAATTTTAGTTATTAATCTACTGAAGAGTTTTTATCAAATTGTATACTTATTTTTTACTTTTTTTTTACAGGAAGTAGCTGATAATATGAAGATAGGTGGCACTCTATTTTTCTTGGATACTGGCATGATTCAACAGTGTAAGCTACTTCAAAAAGTGCTTGAGCCTTTGAATGACTTTAAGAATATTTACGGGCCAAACAATATAGAACCTTTTTGTATCAGCATAAAATCTGTTCAAAAATCTGTAGAACTTTTTTGGTCCAGGTTCCAAGGTAACATTTGCCTTACTGGTTGCATTGTCAATTCCTGCGCTTGGATGAAGTCGGAATCAACACCCGCTGAGAAGGAAACTGGATTTACGAAGAAGAATTCCAAATTGTCTCGCAAAACAATGATGGAAAAGGTTAGAAAAGCTAAGGAAGAATGGTGCCAAAATATGCAAAAAAGCCAGAAAGCTTTAGAAGAGTATCACCGACAAGTTCGCCAAATTATGCCCAATAAAAACAGTTTAAAAGAAGACGATTTTTGCTTCTTTTTAGATTACCCAAAACATAATGAAACCATTTTATTCAAAAGTAAATCGAAAAGTAGAAGAGTTTATCTTGATGATAGAGCAGATTTTTCTGTCGCATGATTGACTATTGTACTATTTTTCTTATCACGATAGTATTTAGTGGTAAATTGTTTTTAAACATAAATTTCTATTTGTAATGAATTATATTGTAAATATGAAGAATGCCTTGTTATAAATGAAATAAATATTTATTTTAACCTATGTGTTTTTTGTAATAAGAATGGAACACCTTAGCTCTAAAGACATGCTTAAAATAAATTTAAAATTTCACATCTAGGCCAACAGACTAACAACAGTAGCTTAAATATTAAATACGAAAAATGAAAAGTGTTGAAATGAATTGGACTTAATTTTAACATATTTTCAGAGAAAAGTTACAATTAAGATTATAGCAAGTTTTAGAACTTCCTGAAACATCCAGTTAAAATTCTTTTTACACTCAAGCTAGAAAAAAAAATTCTTTAGCAATTACAGCCAATGTAAATTTCATTACATTTTGAATGAATTTTTAATAATTTAGATAGATTAATGTCAATTAATTATATTTCCCCATTTTTTTCAGTTCCATTCGGATTTTCCATTTTTTAATAAAAAAAATCTTAGTACTTCCAAAATCAGTTAAATTAGATTACAAAACGTCCAAAGTGTAGTAACGCCAAAAGTAAAAAAATAGATCGTTGTAATATTTTTTTCCTTTACCGAAGTTAAACATTTTATGGGTAAGTTTAGTAGTTTACAAATTTAACTGAAAATCTGTGAAAGATTTGGAGTGACATAAAAAAAAATAAAAATGTTAAAATGAATTTAACTTAATCGGAAAATATGCTAAAATTGCATTATGAAAATACAAGTTTCAGAATTTTCTGAAACATCCAGTTAAATTTCTTTTTACGTTCAAGCTGGAAAAATAAATTAAAAGCATCATTAGCAATTGCAGCTAATGTAAATTTCATAACATTTTTAATTACTTTTTGATAATTTAGATAGCATTCAATGAAAGCCAATTAAGCTTTTCTCCATTTTTTTTTTCAGATAATAAAAAAATTTTATTACTTCAAAAAATCAGTTAAATTCGATGACAAAACGTCCGAAGTAAAAAAAAATAGATCGTTGTAATATTTTTTTCGTTCACCGAAGTTAAACATCATTTTATGGGTATGTTTAGTAATTTACGAATTTAACTGACAATCTGTAAAGGATTTGGAGTGCTATAACCAAAATCTAATCAAACCCAATTTTGTATGAACAAAATATAAGGAGGGTAGTATCTGATAAGGGAGTTTCAATCAATATGTTTGAAAGCATCAGTAATTTTTTCGAATCGAATGTCTAAAAAGAATCGAATCCTTGTCAAAAATAAGTAAACAGAGGTTAATATTTAAGCAAAGAAAAAACAAATACAAACCGTGAAATCTAATGAATATAAATTAAGAAAGTCGAAACAGAAAACCTGTTTATTTCCGGTGAAAAAGAAGTTAAAAGGCGATGATTAATTTCTCCAAATTATATAAATCTATGCGATTAAATGGCAATCTATCTGATTTTGATGGTTTTTTTTTATCCCAGTTTCCTCACGAGTGACTAAACGAGTTTCAAAATCGTTTTGTTTCTTCCAAGTATAAATATTAATTTGTGACCTCCTTTGTGCACACTTTTTATTAATTTATTCATTTTTTTTTATTCATTCTAAAAATTCGCATTAATTACTGTTATAAAACTATATCTTCTATGCATTTTCTCTTTTTCTCAAATGACATAATTTTTTCATTTTTTTCAAGTACACTGAAAATACATATTAAGGACTGTCATTAAAGAACATCTTATATGGATTTTCTCCTTTTTTTAAATGAGGATATTTTTTATTTCCTTTTTGGTAAATATTTTTAAAATACATAATAAGGGCAGTTATTATTGTACAACTTCTATATATTTTCTTTTTTATTAAAATTTATAAGTTTTTTCTTCCTTTTTCGAACAGGAATTTAAAGTTACATATTAGAAACATGACGCCCGGTGGCTGAGCGGTAGTGCTTCGCGCTGTCGTGCCACAGGTCCCTGGTTCGATCCTCGGGCCGGGCAAGGTTGACTCAGCCTTTCATCCCTTCAGTGGGTCGATAAATGAGTACCAAGCATGCTTGGGAACTAAACACTGGGGGTTCCGCGTTCGGCTGACCACCTGACCGGAACATCTGCTCCTGCACCTCAGAGCCCAAGGTCAAGAAAACTGAGATGGGCACAGTAGGCCTTGGCCCTCTATGGGCTGTCGCGCCACTGAGTTTAGTTTATTAGAAACATACATACATATTCCTCGTCACTCCGAATTCGAGTAGATATTGTGACTCTTTCCATGTCTTTTCTATTGCTTTCGATTCGTTCAATTATTAGGTATTGCTCTGAGGGTTTTAATCAAAGCTTGTTGTTACTTTAAATTTTTCAGGTTTACATATAACATAATCAACCCATTTCCATTTACATCTTTTAATTTCCAGATCAATCTATTTTGCTTTTTATATTTTATTTTTCAAGGAAATTTTTATTTTTTTATTTTTCTGCAATACAAATTTTATTGAACCACTTGATACGCAAGATTCTTCGTAAATAGTTGTTAATGAATACTTGAAGATTTTTCAGGTTATTTTTATCGTAGTGTCATGGCTCAGATCCATGTAGGACAGATTTAATATTAATATTGAATTTGCAATGTGTTTGTTTTTCCAGAATTTAATGAGAATAGCGTAACTGAAAGTTACATACTAAGGAATGTTATTTAAATATACCCTAAACATATTTTCACCTTTTTTTCGGGATATTTAAATTCGATATTCAGTCTAATTGTTATCGTGAACCATGAAAGTTTGTTTCAGGTGATATTTTAGGATGTGAAATATTGTATAAATGTTTTTTTTTCTTTTACGGGAGTATATTATGGAGATTTCGCACTTTTATGTTAGCTTCCGTACGCAACGACGCCCGTACGTAAGATTGAAACAACAATTGAAGCCCCCGTGCGCAAGATTGAAGTGCAGTTGCTTCAATCTTCCGTACGCTCCTACGTAAGATTGAAGCAACAATTGAAGCGCCCGTGCGCAAGATTGAAGTGCAGTTGCTTCAATCTTCCGTACGCTCCTACGTAAGATTGAAGCAACAATTGAAGCACCCGTGCGTAAGATTGAAGTGCAGTTGCTTCAATCTTCCGTACGCTCCTACGTAAGATTGAAGCAACTGCTCATGCTCGCGTTTTCTTTAGATTCTACGCTTCTTTACGTTATGTTGGCGTAGTTTACGCTACATAGACAAAGTTACAATCACGCTGATTATAGATGTTAAATTTTGTTTTCTGCTTAAAACTGCCTTCGGATTAAAAACAAGGATGTGGAATGTGAATTTGAAGAAATCTTTTAATGAAATTTAGAAATGAATCCTTTGATATTAAAGTAAATGGTTCATTCAATAAGAAAATAATTCAATTGGTTTAACATTATGGTTGCCTAATTGCACTAGTTCCATAAGAAACTAAACAAGTTTTCGCTATTTTAAAATTATAAATTATCTTTCTTTCAAATATAAAATTTAGTTAAAAGAAGTTGACTAATCAATAAATGTTCGATATTTTTTTAAAAATATTAATAATAATAAGAATAATAAGCTGAATTCTTTATCGCTGAACTCATCAAAATCTATAATCCCCAAATTTTTCTGCTCTCAGAACCACAGTTTTACGTAGAGCATCTTGAATCGTATGCCACAACTTTACAGAGATAGTTTACATCCATTGTAAATGTTTGTTTTGATTTTGTGGTCGAAATAAAAATAATATTCCCCCACATTATCGGTTTTTAACTTACGAATTTCTACAAAATCTCTTATTTTCACGGAATTCAGTATTATTTTTCACAACTCTTATTTACACTCTATAACAAAAAAATAGACGCACCAAGAAGCAATCATCCGATTGCTTTGAAATTTCGTATGGATGAATGTTTTGAACAAATATGGCTGGAATGATGCCGACTGGGGACGTATAGTCTGTAGCGACGAATCCCTCTTCAAACTGTGTCCTGACGATCATCGAAGACGTGTTTGGAGACGCACAGGGCAGAGGGGGGATCCTGCCTTTACTATTGCACGCCAAACCGACCCTCAACAAGGCATTATGGTCTGGGGTGCCATTTCCTTTGACAGCCGGACCCCTTTGGTCGTCATTAGAGGTACACTTACTGCACAACGGTACGTCGACGACATCCTAAGACCTGTTTTGCTACCGTTCCTTTTGCAGCTCCCTGGGCTGGTTTTTCAGCAGGAGAATGCAAGACCACATACGGCACGTGTTGCTGTGAAATGTCTGCAAGCTTGTCAAACTCTTCCTTGGCCTGCCAGATCATGACATGCCCTCTCCCATCGAGCATGTCTGGGATATGATGGGAAGGCGATTGCATATGGCACGGAATGTTGATGACTTCGTTCGACAATTGGATCGAATTTGTCAGGAAATACCGCAAGAGACCACCCGGGAGCTTTATCGGTCTATGCCACGCCGTGCATCAGCTTGTATCCAGGCTAGAGGTGGGCAGGGCTAAAGAGAATACAAGGGCTAGTTCACTCCGCTCTTAGAGCTGAAGCTACGATTTCCCTCCTCATGACGTCACTGTGTCTACAGATCTCGGAGATCGCAAGCAAAGATATGATAACTTTGCATCTTTCTCTTGTAAAAATAAGTTAGACTTTTTCTGGTTATTAGCCTTCAAACTTTACGTAATTAACACATTATTTCCGTTCATAAACATAGTTCAAAAAAAACTTTCTTGGTTATTATATTAAAAAAATACCATTTTAAACTTATAAAAATGTTTTGCTAGTTGGTGAAAATGACACGATAAATACTTTATTTTAAAAAGTTCAGTTTTAACTTTAACTATTAAGAAAAATGAAGGCATATATCGACACTTTTTTTATCTACATATTCTTTTATAAAGATAAGTTAAGTTAAATTTAGAATCCCTGATTTTAAAATATGTCGTTAATAGCAATTTGTTCATACTTAATCATTAGGAAACATCAACCTTAAACGCTAATTACTGAAACAAAATAATAATTTAGGTTCATAATGACATTAGAAATTTTACAATTGTTTATAGACATTTAAATTTACGATGATATAATTTATAGATATTTAAATTGAAGAGAATATAATTT